ATACCTTTCCCATTCAGTGGTGTAATATTTTATGTGTAAAATGCACCTGAGGCCGTATTTCTGAGCCTTAGTAAATCCTTACTAGGATTTGAGAAAACCAGCATTTGAGGAGAAGGTGCCTCCTGCACCGAGCTGATGGTGGAAAGAGGCTGATGGTGAATCACCCTCTGATCCTTGAGCTTGAATTACCTCCTCTCCAAACGAGCTCTTCACTGCCATGTCCAGAAGGTGCTGAACAAGAGTTGTCACCCAAGAGAGATGCTCCTCAGGTGAGCTGGTGGCTCTGTGCAGCTCTGCTGCAGGGGGTCTAAGGTGCAAGAAGACAGACAGGGATGTTAAGGTTGCCCTTCGGAGTACATCACTTACTTCTTCATCCTACAGCTTGGACTGAGGCTTGTCTTTCACAGCAACACCTCATCTGGGTTTAAGGCCTCCAGGAGATAATGGTTCCATCATCTTTGTTCGGAAACCACTCTCCCTAATTACCCTTTCATAGAATGCTAGAATGTTTTGGGTTGGGAGGGACCTCAAAGATAATCTAGTTCCAACCTTTCACCCAGGATAGTAATCTTTCACAGACGAATATTTCTATTTCAGCTTTGCCTGTGGGAATATGTTATGACTTTCCCAGTAATACAGCAATGCATTTCTGCCATCAGATATCTTTTTCACATGTAGGGGCCTGGAAACCCTACTCATACCTGCTATCCCGGTCCAGTTGCAATTGGGAATGAGTAGTTCCTGTATGGCATGCACAGTTCATTGCATGGAATTCAAGGCGGGGGGGAATGTTTAAACTGAAAGCATGGCAATGTCCCATTGGATCCCTGGATGCAAGATAGGACAAGGGGGAACAGTTTTAAACTGAAAGAGAAGACATATAGATTAGATGTTAGGAAAAGATTCTTTACTGTGAGGGTGGTGAGGCCCTGGCACAGGTTGCCCAGAGAAGCTGTGGCTGCCCCATCCCTGGAAGTGTCCAAGGCCAGGTTAGACGGGGCTTGGAGCAACCTGGGCTAGTGGAAGGTGTCCCTGCCCATGGCAGGAGTGGTTGGAAATAGATGATCTTTAAGATCCCTTCCAACCCAAACCATTCCATGATAATCAGAGCAAGCAGGACCAAGCAGTGGGACACCCACCAGCAGCTCACCCCATGCTGCATCACCTCCATCCTGAGGAAGCCCCAGGTTTGCATTCCAGCAGCGCAGGGATGGAGAACACATGGGCACATTTGCCTTACACGATAAAAGAATAACCAAAAGGCTCCAGCTCTGTCTTTTTTTGATGCAAAGGCAGCCAGAGAACTGCCCTCTCCCACGAGCCTGGTGCTCAGCCTATGAGATAATACAGACTGGCCTTTTCTTTGCAGCTGTATTGTTTTAGTGCTTGGAAAATAGCAGCAGGCTGAGCAATGAGTCATCTGTCACTAGATGGGGTTAAAGTAATTTCCGTTTTCTGTTGCCATGGGGAAATCAACGTCCTAAGATTTGTCCTTTCTCCCACTCAAACACGTGGGAGTAAAAAGCCTGAAACCCAGCAGTACTAAACATTTTTTTTTTTTTTTTTTTTTTTGGTCCCCTTATAAACAAACTTCCCTCCGTGGCCTTGCAGCTGTCAGTCTGTTCCCGGAATCGTCCAGTTTAACAATGTCATTCCCCTTGGATTGCAAAAAATCCAGAAGCAGAGTTTAAGTAAATATTTGGCATTCATATAGGAGTTGCTTCATGTTATTACTTGTAAGAGTCTCTTTTGCTTGTAAAGTTTTACATGTACATTTGAGAGGGTTATAAACTCGCTATTATACAAATAAAACTGAAGCTTCAAAGGAAAAGTAAATTAAAGTAGCAGCTCCCCCAGCCATATAGTGTCAGGATATAGTGTCTAACAGAAACAGGAAAGAGGAAATTGCAGTAAATACCTTTTAAAAGCCTCACTAATGTATAGCTTATATGAGTAGCAGCACAGCAACATCTAGTGTTGATCAGGAATATAGCTGGAAGTTATCACATGCTTCGTTAACGGCGTTTTGATGGAATCAGGCATTTCCTGGACCACCACAACCACAGCCTCAGCTCCTTCTCCCCCGTGTTCCATAACGTGTCAGTCCTTCATGCTCCGTGTCACTGCTTGTGTTAGCATTGCAGAAGTGCAGTCATCTGGGAATGCTCCCAGCCTGCCTGGATCCTGTGGAGAATTACTGGAGTTCTATTTAAGCATCAGGTCAATAGATCTACAGATTTAAATGCAATTCAGTGGCCAAAACTTATAGCATCTGAACTGAAATTAAGGAAGTGATATTTTCCTGAGAGCTGATCCCATTACCAGCTGTATCATAAACCCCAGGACTGGTTAAACACTGCTGTCAAACTGGCTCAAAGTTATTCTTTTCCCTAGAAATCAGCGTGCAAGTGTAAGGTTGCCACGCTAAGTGGTATGTCAGAGTAGGCCCTGTTTTCAGGCTCCTGTATTTCCACAAAAATGCAGGGATTACTGTATTATGCACAGTAATATAGACCATCTTTGGAAAAATTGATTGGGTGCATATTTAATCTCTCACCATATCCCACGTAGACACTTCTTTTCATTTAAAAGACTTGAGGCTCACAGTTAAGTTCTTGCTGCTTAGCTCCTCTCTAGGTATGGATTAACATTATGGATTAAGATTCATTTAGTTTTGATTACTTAAATTTAACTAAACTAATCAAGTTTATCTTAACATTAGTTTAGTTCTTTTAGTCTAGGTTTAAGTATTTTTAATGGCTTTTTTAAACTTCTACAGTTTAGGTTTTTTTCATATAAGCAAATCCTTATATCAGGGCTCACTATGGACTATTTAGATAAAATAATTTGTCTCCTTAGATTACAGCTCCTATTGCATGGGGTTTGCTTCATCTTCAGTAAAATAATGTCCTTTGGGTTTTCTCAAACAAAACAAAATTAATGACTGGCTGCTTTCCAAGTCCAGCTGTCTTGCAATACCCCGTGAACAGATTTTTTGCCACATTTAAGTTTATTACATGATCTAATTAGCATGACTGTGTAGGTGCGTGGAATGCACTGGGGGAGAGGAAAAATACAAGTGTACAAAATGCTTTTATATAGTTTGCTATGGGAACGTGCTTATTGCAGAGACCTGGATCACTCTCTGGATTCTTTTCAGTAGGATTTTGAGAGCGAGCAGAGAGGCAAGGAAAAAGAAAGGACATTCAAGTCTATCGCAGAAAAAAAAGGGCCAAGAGTGGAAAAGTCTGACTACCATCTGATTTTTGTGGCTTAGAAATACAATCGCAAATTTAAAAGGTATTAATTCTATACTCTCATTTGCTGCTTTTGTCTCCAGACAAAACAATTCAGTAAAATTCAATGCCTGACTGGAAATGAGGACTGCAAGCTTGTCAGCTACGCTGCGAGGCTCATTCAACATCAGAATGAAATACAGCTTCTAATTAATAGCAAGAAAATACAGATTGTTAACCACTCTGGCCATGAGAAAGGCATCAGGGTGTCTATTGGAAGCACACAGCCAGACCAGGGATCAGAGCTCTGCCTCATGTTATTAAGACATTCACACTACCCTAACCAAGTTAAATGGAGGCTCAGTAACATGAAGCGACCAGGCTCTTTCTTCCTCCTGCATGCATGAAATGACATTTTAAAGTGACGTGTGATCTTTCAGAGCTGTAAAGGGGTCAGGCACCAGGCACATCTGGCACGTTGATCCTCTCATTCAGGAGCATGAAGTCATCCTCCAAGCTGCATTCCTGAGTGAAGAATGTGTAATTTTCCATGTGTCACTTTACTGACTTGCACTTTGAACGGAGATTGATATTAATTCCATTGAAGATCGGGCTTATTTAAGAAAATTGCAAGCCTTGCTAATTGTGTTTTAATTAAACTAGAAATAAAATAGTGTTTGGTAAAGAGAGCTGATGTTTTTTGAATAAACACTCTCCACGCAGCCCGCTGTGCTATGCCATAAATCAGCTCAGTGCTGGATCCCACCCGACAGGGTGAATTGGGTATTAGAGAGTCTTCAGAGGTGTTAGTTTAATGGTAAAATTACTGCTTGTTAAATTTGCCACTCTGCTTTCCCTGCCCTGTAGAGGTGATGTTGTCATCACGGCATCCCGAGGAGCCACCGCCCTTCAAGCTGACTTACCCTGAAGAACAACTGTCCCCTTTGAGTCTTCTTTAGGAGGATCAGGATGTGCCCTGGGGTGGTACCCAGTGCCACCCTGGCTGGTGGCAGCATCCAGCTGGGGGAGGATGGGTCTGAAATCAGTTTGATGATTATGAGCAGTGTAATCTGGGATTGCAGATGATAAAGTACACAATTGCTTGGCTCTTGCAATCAAAATATTTGCTGTGGCAGGTAGAAGAAACAGGGCTCCAGCGATGGGGGGTGCTCAGCCCTAATCTCTGTAAAATCAAAGGCCTGTCCCTCATCGTGCCCAGGAACAGACCCTCGGAGTGACTTCCCACCTCCCAGTGACTCCCAAAGCTCTCAGAGCCCTTATCTTTCATGTTTGGGGCAAGCAAACACATCAACAGCATGAAGTGTATGATTCACTTGATTTCAAACTGCTGGCTAGAGCCTATTCCCTCTAAATCCCTTGTTACACACCTGGTACACCAACAGTAACTGTCCCTGGGGAGAAGGTCCCGCACGGGACGACGTGTCCATGTCCTGCAGAGGCTGGATTCACACTGGCTGGGATGAGCAGGTCAGGGTTGGAAACAACCACCCCAGCTGCTGTCAGCAAGCCCTGGCTCTCTCTATGCCGGGAAGAGGCCTGTCCTCTTGGGAAGGAATAATTCAGAAATCACAGGATGGGCTTTCTGTAGCTGAAAGGGAAGGGCAGTGAGTTTGGAAAAAAAAATCATATTCCTAGGGGTGAAGAAGTCTTATTTACCACAGTGTAATACCTTCTGTTTCTGTAGGAACATCTGAAGACAAACAGAATAGTGGTTGTGGTGCCAGGTAAACAGCTCTCCATGCCATGGCTACAGTCTCTAAGGAGCTGCTGTTTATTATGAGCCATTTCTGCCTTGGCTTTAGTGACAAACCCTCCTTGCAAATCCAGCAGGGAGAGGCTCACAATGAAGGGAAGAGCTTGTATGGAGTTGCCAGAGGGATACTGATTACCTTTGGGATTATAAGATTTTTTTTTCCCCGGAATTTTTGCCTCCCTCCCCTGTTTTTTTCTTATAAGCCCTGGTCCTTTGGATGGAGTTTTTGTCTCACTGGTCCCATTTGGAATGGAGCTTTGTTAAGCAAAACAAAAGTGTTATCAAAGGAAAGATGTTAGTGATCCTACAGAGACATGAAAAAGTCAACTATATCTGAATTATTTATTTCCTAGTTCATGTGAACTATCTTTAAACAGATAAATGCTCAGAATAACATGAAACTAAAGCGAGAGGCTCCCTGGAGGTTCTTAATAATATTTAAATTTGCAGTAAACACTGGTGTATTGATTATTATCATGGCCTTCTGATTTTTAATTTCCCTTCACAGAGAAGCCTCAAACTTTCTCTTTCTGAGCCTAATTTGGATTGTTAAAGGAGTGTAAATTAAGTGTATAAATGTAAATTAGGGTCCCCAGGGTTGTGTTGGTGTAATTGTGATAATTTTTTAGCACTTTTCTTTGGTTCATTTCCTAAGTTTTTTGCATGTGCAAAGAGATGTTTTAAGTCATGCAATGAGGCAGGCACAACAAGCTTTACACAGTAAAAGCTCAGGTAGGCACATGGTGTGAAATCCTCATCCTCCTCATTGAGAGCACGATACATGCCTGGTGCCTCCTCATAGAAACTGACTGCCCAACATAAAAGCTCGTGAGGTTTTTTTTGGGATGAGGTCCCATAGCTGCAAGGTTTTGGAGGTGCTGGTGGCCCTGTGGCAGCAGGTGAAACACTGAGGAAGCAGAGTCAAAGCAGGGGTTGGAGGAAGGGTGCATTTCCTCCCCCCTCACCCTAATGGTTGGACAAAGGTATCTCCAGGGGAATCCTACCCTTGGTTTTCCAGTGGAAGTGGTATTTTTCTTGTGATTGAGATGCAATGACCTAGCCATGGGGTTTTATACCCATGTATTCCCACCACATAGCTGGCAAACCCTGACACAGTTGTTTTTTAACTTTTAATCCAAAAGGAGGAAGAAACAGTTTTTCACAGCACTGTCATTTCTGTTGTCCTTATAGCAAGGAGTTGACTGCAGCACTTTATGGCTTCCCTACCCTTCCATCAACCTTGGGATGTTTATTTTTCTTCAAACGTAGCTGTTTGCAGCACGCTAAGGAGAACTGAAGATCTTTTAACGCTGCTATTTGTTTACTGAAGACATCAAAGCCTTTTTCCATGAGCCCTCTTTGAGTCAGTACACTCTGTAAACAGCCGTGCAACACCAAGGTGTGTTTTGTGCCTCACAAAATAAAACCACAGAGCACTGAAGATACAGGTATTTTTCTTATCTAGGGGTTCTAAATTTAGCTGTGCTTCCTCCTTCATTCCTCAGCTTCTCAAACTGTTTGTTCCTAACCCAGAGCCCTGCAGTTCCAGCAGACCTTCCTGCTGCCTTCCAGTTGGGTGGAGGAGCACAACTGCCAACGTGGACAGTGGCTGGGAGAGCAGCTAATCTAAAACAAATATTTTGTAACATCACCTATGAGCAGATGCATTTCCCTGTTTCACTTTGATGACCATGATGCTAACAGGAAGCAGCACTCAATTTTTTGTGTTAGGTCCTTTCAGCTTTCAGTTCAGACCCAGACTGTGGGTGCTGGGAAACAGTGGAGGAAATGACAGATGTTGGCAGCAAATTAAATAAACGTATCTGCCGAAAATAATGTCCTAAGAAATACCAGGGCGTCCTTTTTATGGATTTCCTAGATATGTTGAGGCTATTTTAAGGCAAATTGAACTCCCACTCCTTGCAGTGTAAACAGGATTATCCCTTCTCTGGAACATATGGCAGCCTAAACGTCATTATTTGTGCATCACTGGTATTTCCAGTCATGCTTCAAGTATTGTCTTGCCCCAAACCTGCATTTCACCACTCAGAGCCCAGTGTCAGTCTTCAGGGAGTGTTGAGCATTGACAGCACATCACAGGAGGCATCTCCACAGAGGACAACCTAAAGCCTGTCCATGGAGAAGGACCTGCTGGAGTGGTGCCAACAGATCAGCTCCCTCAGGTCAGCTGTGGTGTGGACAACAGGGAAGAAGAGGGGCAATGAAGGAGGAGGATGGGACAAGAACTGACCCATGTGGGGTTTTATTGCACAGTGAAGCAACTCACCCCACGATGCGTTGGCTGAAGCTCACGGAGCAGGCAAACATCCAAGGCTTTCCAGGAATCGGGAACAGTGATGTGCAAGGTCAGTGCAGGTAAGGCAGATCTGCGTGGGCAAAGTACAGGCCATGAGAAATGCTGACTGCAGTGGTTGGGAAGGGCTGGTGTGCTGAGGGCATTTTCAGCAACATTCAATTTACTTTCATTCACAACATTCATACAACTTGCTGTAGTTCACCCTGTCACAGCAGGGGAAGAGAAGCTGCACGACCTGATGCTCATGGCAGCTTTGGGGACCTGGTGCAAGGAGGAGACCCACGAGGGAGGGGCTGGGTGGCAGAGGATGTGCTGTTCAGCAGCGTTTAACCCTGAAAACACCAAAAGGAGGTGCAAGAGGCAAGCAGTACAAACCTTTCTCCTTCCACCAGCTTTAAACCAGGTGAGCAGCGCTGGTACAACAGAGTGTAGCCAAAGAGGCTGAAAGTGTGTGTGGGACAACAGTTTTGGCCAATTCCCTTGGCTTTGGGTGCTGTGGAGCTCAGGTGTAGCATATGGCTTAGCAAGGCAGGGCTCAGCCTCCAAGAGATGGGGGGGAACAGGAGTAAATGTTCCCCAATCCCAGGGTCCCCAGGGAGCTGGGAACAGGGACAAGGCCCCCTCAGGGACATCAGCAGGCTGCCCCTCCAGTCTCAGCACTCAGGTGTCTCCTGCAGAGCTCTTCCAGAGTGTTGCCTTAAGAAATAAAAACAAAATGGCAGATCCTTAAAATAAAAACACAAAGAGTTTTAAGCATATCCAACTTTGGGATAGAGCATAAAATTTCTTGCCAGAAAATTTAAAACAAACTGGAAACTGATCATCTACTCATTTAAACGATGTGCCTGGAGCTAAACCAGCAAGGCTGAATAATCTCTGCACTGCTTTCATCCTCCTTCAACTTTTCCTTTGTTCCATCAGCCACATGTGTTAAGTGTAAATTGAAGGGCTCTTCCCTGGAAAAGCAGATTGTGAAAAGGGCTTGGCCATCACCTTATAATTTGGCTTCAGTGTTACAATTACTCTTACTAGCACTCTTGTTTTGTTGTATTATTTATCCTGGCTAGAACCCTCTAGGATCCCCTGAAGGCTTTTTTTTTTTTTTCTGGTGGATTTAGCCAACATCCACTCATGAATCCAGATGTTTCTGCTTTTATCCACAGGAATTTAATGGTATGGATATGCCAAGATCATAACTTGAGGCTCAGCCTCAGGACAAATATTTTTCAAATTCCCTAAATAAAAAATGGAAAGTGCCACAAAAAACCTGGGTCTTACTGCATTTTAGCATGCCAGAATGGAAATCAAACCACAGGACACTGTTGCTTAAGGCGGCGGAGCTGTGTTGATACAGTGTCCTACGTTGCACCAGAAATCACAGCCCAGATTGTGCTATTTTGTGTTCTCAGACACAGATTTTGCCTTTAGCACAAGTTCAGCTCTTCTTTCCATTCACCACCCTGAAGCCAGGAGCACAGATACATGTGGGTCCAAGATGCTTACACTGGGAAAAAAGATTCCAGCCTGCAAGGCAGAATTAGTGCTGGCATATTCAAATGAATGAACATGTGCCTCTGTGTGTCACAGATAACGCCCCCCCAGGCAAAACTGGTTCCTAAATAAGGGCAGAGATGAAACATACCCTGCCCTGATGGGGACCTGACTGAATAACACAAGGTCTGCTGTGCCTTTGGCAGCACTTGGGAAGGATAACCAACCCCAAACTCATTCCTTGTCCAGAGTGATAAAAGCAGCACGAAGCAGATGTTAAAACAACCTTAAAATTCTGCACTGCCTGGAGTTTTCTTCAGGCACTCCCATTTGTGGCATCCTGAATTTCTTCCCTGCTCCCCATTTGTCAGCATGAGAATCCCAGTGAAAGCTGGTGTGCTGTGGTGGTCAGTGCCAGTGTGGTGGTGTGCACGGTGTCCTGTTGGGGATGGCCACGTCTCTACAAGTGCCCTGAGGTACTCCAGTGTCAGGACACTCAGGAGCATGGAATAGGAAATGAAGGAGATGCACAGAACACTTTTCAGTGGCCTTTTGGCAACCAACACTAAACATCATCTGTGAGCATGCTGTGCACAGTAAGGATGTGATATCGTGCCTGACTCCACAAAAGGTGAATTTTAACCTTTCCTCCAGGACACTCCCAGCTGGCCTTGAGTGCATTCCAGCAGGACCATGGTCCTGACTTTACTCTGCACAATCCAATTCCTTTCGAAGCCCCTCTCTGTGTACTGGACAGGGGAGGAACACAGAACAATTATTCCAGCCTGGTAGAGAAGAGCCCGTTCTGCTCCCTGGGAGGCTCCAGCACAGCAGCCAGTTATTGCCTGCTCTAATAGCATTAGTTCTTTACCTGCAGAGATTTTGGATCAAAGGAAATTTAAATTACTCCTAAAAGCTCTTCTAAGGCTTCCCCCAGCATGGAAAAGCCTCTCAGCTGGCACAAAGGATGGAGCTGGCTCCATAGCAAAGCCCTCTGGGGCAGGGATGTGCCGGGACAAGGAGGAGGCACAAGAGCCAGGGCAGCTGAGCATCCAGCAAAGCTTTTCACCCACCTACCTCAGAGCTGAGCTCAACCAGGCCAAAATCCTGCTGAGGGCAGGGGTAGGTGGTGCCACCAGGCAGGGTGACAAGTCTAGGAGTCTGTGTGGTGTCACATGCAGGTGGCAGCAAGGGAGCAGCGGAGTTAACCTGGACAATGCAATCAAAGAGAAAAGCACTTCTCTTGTTAATATTGTGGGTCAAATGTGCTGTGCAGGGCTCACCAAGGGGGCACATTATATGTCCCACCAGTACAGTCATTCTGCCACTTCCTATCACATTCTCTGTGTTATAATGAGGAATTTTTTAAACATTCAACTATGCAGTTTAAATTTTAAAGGCCACCCATTGTACTTAAATACTATATGACAAACTGTATAAGTATACCCGTTCCAATTTATTCTTCTAGTATTCTCATTAAAATATGGTTTCAATGATTTTGTCTTCCTTGTTAAAAAAAAATAAAAATCTGCATTTCTCTTTAATAAGTTCATGACATTCAAGCTACTAATTTCCCTTACCATCACATCCTTTTTTGGACACAGAATAAAGGAGATTAAATATATAAAAAAAGAGGGGTTTATCCAAGTTGGAAATGAAGAAATACAAAAATATTGAGCCCTTTAGTTTTAAAGGTTGTTTTTTTTAAAAAAATAAATAATCACTCAGCAGGTCATAAAAGTGATAAAGTGCTTTTGTCTCCATTTCAGGGGGAGGCCAGTTTTGCCTTCGACATCACAGGCGCCTCAGTGCAATTTTCTGCTGCCGTTGCATCTTTGCTCCTTGGCCCATCCTGCTACTGCTTGCTGGCTGGGATCACTGGGACCAGCTACCTGGGTAGCAGTTCTGTTCCCCTTCCCCTGTGCTGACTTCCCAAACCTCTGCAAAGACCCACTGTGGTATGAGTGATACCCTCTCACCTTGAAAATACTGGACCTGTGCTTGAGTCTGGCAGATTTGGGTTTTGTGATGACTTTTGCGAAGCTGCTGCAATTTGGACATTTAAACATGAGCGTCAGTCACAGTTGTGAAGGTGGATTGCCAGGAGGGTGGCTGGGCAAGGACAGGCAGGTCCTGAATGCACTCCCATGGGGATCAGTAGTGCTGCTGAAGCCATGTGGTTTGTTACATTAGATCACTTTATGAACCAGTAATTTGGCCGGTGCTGTTTTACCTAATGGGACATACCTTTTCCATGTGTAGCCTGGGCCTCTGAATTTAAAGGCTGGGCAAAATTTTATGGAAATTATACAGTTTGCTTTTGACATTACAGAAAGCAGAACCTGAAGATTTGCTTTTCTGCTCTTCCTTATGGCTTGAGTGCTGCTCTGCCATTAACACACAGAGCTGTCAAAACCTGCACAGACCTAGATACGAGATAGACATGGAACTGATCCCAACATAGACCTCAACAGCAAGAGAAGTGTGAAAAATAACCACCATTCAGCATGTCTTATCTCTGCTCCAGGTAGAGCCCTAGGCAGGAGCACCTCGAGAGTGCAGCAGGATGAGAGGTGAAGGCAGGAGGAAAAACAGGCCTTTGGGTGACCCAGAGCAGAGCCAGAGCCCGTCACCACACTCCCAAGCAGCTCCTGCATGAGGCATAGCATCAGTTTCCAGCTCCAGCATTCCTCCAGCCCCCACACCTAGTTCAGACATTCACAAATTTTGCTGTGCTGAGGGAAATCTCACCTTCTGTGCATGCTGTCCCTTGGAGTTTTTCTTTCCTTTAACCTTTGTTTGGAGTCAGCCTTGAATCCCCCCCCAAAAAACGGTGTTTCCATGACAACAGCCCAGTAGTGGCTCCTCTGGGACACCTGAAGAATCAAAACACTGCCAGTGCTTCCTCCTGCTCCAGCATCACACCCCACGGTACCACAGCCACATCCTATCCCCTCTCCCTCCTGCTGCCAACTGCCTTGGGCAGAGCTCTGCCTGCAGTGGCAGCACTGGCATTTACTGACTGATAAGTTACACAGCACAGGGGGTGGACAGGCAGGTATTGGACCATGGAACCACTTTATCGAGGGAGAAAGGCCAGTCTAAAGGACTGGGCAGCTCTTGCATTTCATAATCCCCTAATCTTATTAATAAGATTCATAATTTTCATGCCCTCCTTGGTATTTTACAGGAGATATCAAGTGATCCTTTGTTACTCACAGTCCCTGTGCTCCCAACACACAACATTTCTCCTGCCCACGTTCAGCAAAGCTCTGCAACCACTGAACCCGACGGCGCTGTTCCAGCAGAGCATCCCTGGGACCTCACCAAGACCCAAATCATCCCCAGCTGCACCCTCTCCCTAAGCAGGGCAGGGTACCAGTCCTCTGCAGCATCAGGCCCTGCTTGTCCAAGTGTTTTCTCCCCCGGGTGGCACAGCCAATACCTTGCCCAGAGACCAATTCCAGCCAAGTGCCCCATTGATCCACCACTCCTGAAGCAGTCCCAAACCCCCATCCCTTCCCTGCAGCACTCTGTCTGCCCTCAAACCAAGATTTATGAGGGTTATCCCTGGATGTGGCTGCAAGAAGAGTCCAAAAGCTTTTGTTGCAATGCCACAAGCAGCGCAAAACCAGCAAAATGCTCTTGGCATACCTGATCCTCACTGAAGGGATACGAGCAGGACCCTCAAGCCCGGACAGCAAGCTCTGAAGCAGGACCCAAGGAGGCAGCGTGGATGTGTGCCAGCCTGACAATGGGGTTTTGTTTAACAAGCACAGATTTAAGTGTGGAAATCAAATATGAAACAGTCGTGGCCAGCATTGTCTGCATTCTTGGAGTGGCACTGAACTAGCAGAAAGAAAAGAACCGAGACACTGGCCCAGACATGCTCCAGCTGTCTGCAACTACCTCTTCCCTCCTCCACTGAATGTAACTATTCAGCTTGTTTTCATTTCATTATTAGATGTTATTTTTGCAACCTGGGAAAAGAATAGAAAAATGGTGGTGGTGGAGGGGGGAACATCCTTCAAATGCTTTTGGGTTTATTTTTAAGAACTAGACCATTTCTTTCCTATCAGCAATAAGTACAGACTTTTAAAAGTGCACAGGGCCCATGGTATTATTAGTTAAGAATTTGTTTCTCAAATAAGGTCCTTTATCTCAGAGGCAGCAGCACTTGCATTGCTGTGGTTATTCATATAAGTCTCACTCATTTAGTACTGAGCAACATGCAATTAAATAGCCATAGAAACACCCACAGGCTGAGCAACAGCTGCCTACAGGTAACCTTCAGCTTCATGCACTCACTTGCCAAATGTTTCAGCTCTAGCCCTGAAAACGTGCATGTGGGAGCTGGGCAGGCTCTTTCCTCCATCACCGTGGGCACAGCACGAATCAAGATTTTAATGAGTTGGTTTAAAGGCTGATGGTGCAGATCCCTGTAACAGGAGTGCTGCTCAACCCACCACAGGGCCAGCGCTTCCCTGCTTTCCCTTCCCTCCTCTGCCTTCCTCCCAAAAAGACAGCTTTTCCATTTTTAATATTAAAGAGAATTCACATCCAAGATCTGATAATAATTTATTTTCGTGCTCTTTGCACCAGTTTTGCTTGTGGGGTCACACCAACACACACTACCCATGCCCCAGCTGGGGACAGTCCACCCTACGAAACAGTCAATCACCAAGCAAAGGGCCAGGGTTATAAAGTTTCCCAGTGGCCCTAATGGGAATTCTCAGTTTGTGCTGGACTTCTCTGGAAAAATGTTTCCTCTCTTTGGATGCTGACACAATCCAGCACAGCAGTGGTGCATCAAGGGAGGAGTGGAATTCAGGGTGTTTCTTACCATTTATCTTCCTCTCTCAGGACATATACCAACCCAGGAGCTCTTTTCATCTCAGCTTTTCCACACTCCCACAGTATTCCTGGCAGGAGAAGGTCAGGCATGCTTTAGTGTGAGAGTTGTCTCTACAAAAATTGTTTTGTAACATCCAAAGCAGATCTGTAATTCCAAACCTGGATATTATAAGCTCCAACAAAGATTTTTGAAGTGCACCTCCAATAACTGCTGTACATGCACCTTGCTGCTTCCTGACAAATGGCATTGCTCTAAGGATTTGCATGGGGAAGTTTAAACCTTTTTTACCTTATTCCAGACAGTTCAGCAAGGGGACAGTTTTTCATTTTTTGTTTAATGAAAATTATTTCTCATGCTAGAATCTAATTTCTGCTCCTTAAGGGTAAAAATTATGATTTCAAGCAAGGAGTTTCTCCTAATCTATAAACTGTAAACATCTGCTCAACGCCAAGCCTAGGAGCAACTCCATTTACCTTAATATGTGTGCTTATCTCTAAGCAGGTGCTTAAGTGGTTTGTTGGCAAAAGCTGGAGTGCTTATGTCTTTCCAGGTGACCCTATTTAATAATTACCAGTGTTAAACGGCTCAATAACTATAAACACAAGGAAAAACCACCCAACATTGAGTCAGCTCTACACAGATCTTTTCCAAATATGATTTCTGCATTAATCAGGAGGGTCAAACTGTTCCATGCTCGAGGGCTGACCCCAAAGCCACGGGAATCAGTGGAAGGGTGTTGACCAGTTACACCGGTTTGGGGATGGGATCCCCTGTCAGCAGAAACACCTTTTTGTCTTGGCACTGTGACTAATAGGGACAACAAAGGCTCTGCACTGACATTAAGAAAATTTGTTTTATGTCCTGACATCCTGTTAACCTCCAGCTCACTTAGAGGAAGCTGTTAATTTAATGGGTGCGTCAGAAAGATACAGCATTGCTGAGCAACGAAGGAAACCTCCCAGACTAATGTCAGAATTAACACCTGCACAGGGCAGCACTGACTGCAGGGATCTCTGAACAGAGCATAAATTTGAAGAATCTGCTCTTGACAAGGAGAAAACTTTCAAATCAAAGTGGTCATGGCTGATACAGACTCTAGAGACAGGCTTTGGTATCTGTTTCCTGCATGTCTTTCACAGCAAAGCCTCTCTGGATCCTACAGGTTCTTCCAGTTGAATTTGATGCAAAGAGGGATGGATTGAGCCTCTCCCATCACTTGGAGGTAAGAGGCTGCTCACAGGGTCTTTATCTCACCTTGATATAAAGGGGTCTAATCACTCAAGTCCAGAGAAGTTTATTTTGCTATTGCCTTGATTTCACTGCAGTTAAATTTGACTATAGGTGGCATCCATTTTACTGACTATCAAACTTATATTGTACATATATGCAAGGGTAGAGGTGGAAGGCAACAGTAAGACACTCAGCTAAAATGAGATGTTCGACCTAAAAATAAAGATATAAAGGTCCTGACTCCATAAAACACTTCAGCACATACCTAGCAGCAGATACGCAGATGATGCTGTTGAGCTCAGCCTGACACAAGTGCTGTAACTAGTCTGATGATAATGAGGATTCATTACAAGTCAGATGGAACCTGGAATACAACTGTGCTGTAAAACCATGGTTTTAATCTGGGGATGCCAGTACATCACCTGAACAACAAAGCTGTAGTCTTTCCACTGCCAGCTGAGACACAGGCTTGCATTTATACAGCAGAAAACACCCTAATTCACAGCAGCAAGGTAGAAAGATTTGGGTTGTTGCATTACTCTTAGGAATAAAACCTTTATCTCTGTGTCAGGCCTATATCTGTGTGTCAGGCTTGCACTTGCACTCATTTAGAGTCCCAGCTCACTGACCCACATTTGATGCTTCTACAGATTTGAGCACTGACCTTCCGGGCATGAGATCATGGACTTGTATCCCTGACTCCTGCAGCCCACAGCATCGCTCCAAACATTATTCCTGACTGTTGGTCACTCCTGACTGACTCATTTTCATTCTGTCTCCCACACAACCATCTGTCCTTTCCCCAGCTCTGTCCCTCCACTCTTCAACATGCTGCTCAGGGTCAGCATCATCATGCAGTCCTTTATCCCACTGCTTACATTTTCCATCCACTGGCTCCTAACAAGAAATGGAAACGAAAGTTCCTTGCAGCTTCAGCCAACCTCACCTCCTAAGGTCTCTTTGCCCAAAGGGACAATAACTAAGGTTCAAGCCAAGATACTATCTCATCCAGACGGGGGAAGTCTGGAAGCCCTGATAGCTAATGACCTACGTAAGCCTGTGTTACAATTTCACTTTCCATAATTCAACTGCCGTTTCTAAACCGTGTGGAAATGCTATATGGTATTTATAGAAACATTAATGTTAGTTAGATTTTGGAAACAGTAACGCTGCTTTCAGTGGTCTTGGTTAACCACGGTCTTGAGCTATCGCATTCACTGAATAAATCTTAGAGATGCTGAGAGACATTTCTACCAAAATAGAAAGGTAGAATTTGTGAGGCATTTCAGAAAGGCAGAAATCACCCCTGAGCGTGGGTCCTCCTCTCTGGCCGCGGTTGGTGCAGGTGTCCATCTGCACACAGAGCAGACGGCAGAGTTAAAGCCTAAACCTATAATCATTAGTCAGGGAAAATTACAGCAGGTGATGGTGTGCACAGCTGAGCCCAGGGCTTT